CTAAAACAAGGATTAAAACATGACCACAGATTGACCGCCGTGGAATCTGCTCAGTGATTTGGCCGCAAAGACTATGTCCAATGGTTGGGGCCCTAAAACAGCACAAAGTCACCTTTAGTTCTTAAGGGTTAGAGCGGGGGAACGGATAAAAAGTCCCAAGATTTGGAGGAGCAGAGTGGCCGGCAGTAGTGGAATAAAGGAACAAGGGCAGGGGATCTTGAAATGTACACTGGGGGTAATGAAGCTACCTTATATTTGTGCATCCAGGTAAGATCTTCATAGTTAATTCGTGAATAATTTACAGGAAGGCCAATGGGAAGGGATGCCAGAACAGGAGCTAATGTGCGACCGACGGCTGGTTCTGGTTAAAAGGTCTGGTGCGTTGCCATTTTGCATTTTGGACTAACTGTAATCGGTTTAACGTTTAAGGCTTGACTGAGGCCCGTGTAGAGGGAGTTACAGTAATCTAGACGGGAGAAAATTAAGCTGTGAATTAATTGTTCAAGATCACTGGAGGACAGGAATCTTTTGATTTTTGCTACATTATATTATAAATATATTTCGTAGCTGCAAGAAACAGGACTGGATAAGTTTTGTAAAATGAAGGTCAAATGTCACATACTGCTGGTCTTTTGAATGAAACAACCACAGCTCGCCCGTCACCCTATATATTTTTGCCAAAAGTTAGTTAATCTTCTGTCCCAACACTCGCCAGGGAAACTGTAGAAATACGTCGCTGATTTCAAGCTAACACTGAACACAGTGAATGCTTCCTCCTCATGAAATTTAAGATTAAAAAAACATATTTTTCTCTCTTTTGTGTTATATTATTTTATAAGGAGTACGGTGTAGACTTTCTTTTTGAGCATATGTGAATTGAATCTGTTTCAGGTGTATCGATCATCATTCGCCTCCTTTTCCGAACCTTTTGACGTATCGCATGGTAAACCAAGTGACGCCTGTGTTTAATGATGACCTCCACCCTGTGGTTCTCACAGCCAGTGAATATGAACTATAATCAGCCAATCAGTAAAAAAGGGAAGACCACACTAATCTGACATGCTGTCTGATTGGGTAGCCTTTCTCACCATTAGTTATTCATTATTTATGTATTTATATATTTGATTGTATGTTAACAGAAGCAGAGGTGTTCTATCAGCCATTGAACAGGCTGTTTATTTCTCCTGCTGTTACTGTGACATTCCTGAGGGTGGCAGCAGAGGACCATTTATTAATGAAATACTTCCCACTACGACTACTGTCATTGTTATACAGCATGTGTAAGGGCAACACGCAATGTTTGTATAATGCACTCATCTATTGATCAGCTGTTGTCCTGGAACAGATTATATTCATTAAAGCTGCAGTAGGTAACTTTTATTCGCGGCTCTGATTGGTTGTTTTCATTCAGCTGCAGTGGATTTTTAAGAAGTTGAATTTTGGATTAATTCATTTAATGTTATTTGTAAAATGCACCTGAACGAAACATCTCAACAATAAACTGTGCACTCAAACGAGGCAGTGAAGGTCCTGAGAATTGACCCAACAAATCAACACAGTTTACAGCCAGGTCACAAACAACGACGGGAAACAGTATCCGACCTCAAAACAATGCTCCAACTTACAAAAAAATAATAAAACTCAGGATACAAAATAATACGCTGACGGGTTGAGGATTAAATATATACAGGAAATTAAAAATGTGAACGGAGAGAGACGCATTAATAAGGAATGAATAATTATAAACTACACAGTAAAAATTTTAGAATTAAAAGTCTGAAAGTACAAAACATCAAACATTAAATTTATTATATTGGGTGTAATCAACTACACCACTGGATGCCACTGAATCCTACACACTGGACCTTTAAATGTTGCAGATGGATTTTTACTGTGTAACTTACAATAATCTATAATACACCATTTATCTGAAGGTATTAATATAGTGGAATGGAAAGTACAATGTTTATAATTACAATGTTTCCTTCTGACAGATGGTGGAGAAGAAGTATTTAAAGTACCTCTAAATTGTATTTATAAATATACTTAATACATCTAATGGAAGAAAGTGATTCCTGCTAATTAAACATAAAGCTAACAGAGAAGCTAACATGGCTTTTTAAACCTTTTCCCTAAAATTAACAATCGGCTCCTCGGTTCTGCTGATGTTGAGCAGCAGGATCTGCAGGATGGTTGACCGGCCTGTTTTCGGTACAGGTCCACGTTTCTGATATTAAGTCTCTGCTGTGGACACTGATGCTGGTGGATCCTCTGGAGGCGGAGTACACAGCTGACTCTTTGCTGAGAAGTATCTACCAGACATGCAGCCACAGCTGGAATCTCATTCTACAAACAATATTAAAAATACCAGGTAATACCAGAAATACTGGGTGTAAACACAATATTTGATATTTTGATTTAAAATCTGAATGTCAACCTTATGAATGAACCTTTGAACTAGCATGGTCCATAAAAACATTACTCTAAAGTTATGTCCTTACGTGGATTTTCCTGTAAGTTTCTACTAAATTAAAGACTTGTGGATCAACAACTGGATGATCACAAGAACTGTCCATGGACTGGCCAGTTGGTCCGTCCATGTGACTCAAGACTACCTGAGTTCCTGGCTGGTTCAGGTCCTCCATAGTCAGCTTCTGTTTTTATCTGCTCAGTTAGTCTTTGATGAAGCTGTGAGGACTGAGGTTTCTCTTCATCATCTTCACTCTTCACAGGGACAGGAGTGAATGTGAACTTGGTGATATCAGCCTCCTGCAGCCCTTGAAGCTGCTCCCCCTCCTGTCTGGTCCAGAGTCCACGAAGCTGTGAGGACTTACCAACACACTTGTGTGTTTTCAGCTGACATCGCCAACTAAATCTTTTGTCACAGAGGCTGCAGCGGAATGGTTTCTCCCCTGTGTGCGTTCTCATGTGTGACTGTAAATGTTCACAGCGTAAAAAACATTTATTACAAAATGGACAGCTGTATGGTTTTACTCCTGTATGGCATTTCATGTGCTTATGCAGATAAGCCTTCTGGCCAAATGTTTTACCACATACCGAGCAACTGAATGGTTTCTCTGCTGTATGAGTCTTCAAGTGGTAGTCCAGACCTGATTTTTGACTGAACTTTTTAAAACACAAAGAGCAACTGAACGGTTTCTCCCCTGTGTGGGTTCTCATGTGTATCTGCAGCTTTGAGTTTTTGTTAAATTGTTTCCCGCACACAACGCAGGGAAATGATTTCTCACAAGAACCAAATCCATGGTTTTTCATACAGTTTAAAACTAAAGGAGCTTCTCTGGTGGTTTTATCATCATTACAGACTCCAGTCTCAGGTTCAAACAGGTCTTCTGTCATCTCATCAGTATCAGGTTGTAAATGAGTATCTGGATCTGAGTTCCTGGTCGGAGCTGGTCCTCCACAGTCATCCTCATCAGCTTCTGTTTTTATCTGTTCAGTTTGTCTTTGATGAAGCTGTGAGGACTGAGGTTTCTCTTCACCTTCACTCTTCACAGGGGCAGGAGTGAATGTGAACTCAGTGATATCAGCCGCCTCCGGCCCTTGAAGCTGCTCTTCCTCCTGTTGCTTTTTAAAAAGTGGGGTCTGAGTCTGAACCTCTTGGTCCAAAGCAGGTCTCTGCTCAGGGGGAACCTCTTCTTTAATCACCGACAGCTGCTGGACGTCTGCAGGACACAGTAAACACAAAGATAGACATTAAATTTAATTGGGTACTTAATTCTCTCTGTGTAAGAACAAATATATAATTTAAGTTGTAAAAAATAAGTCCTGTTACTATTGTAGTGTTTGTATTCTGTAATATTTCCCAGTAAACGGTAAACATGTCAGGTTGATCAGCACAGACACCAGAGCCTAAAGAGATCAAACCTAAGCAAAGAGAAAAAAGAGGTACTGAACTAACCCTAATGTGGAGCACTATGGTTAATGTGCAACACTCTGGGTAATGTGCAACACTCTGGGTAATGTGCAACAGTATAATATACTACTAATAATACTATAATAATAAGTATTATTATTGCTACAGTTACTGTTGTCGCTGCTCGCTGTCCCCCATCATTGATGTGCAACACTCTGGTTAATATACTGGTTAATGTGCAAGTTAATGTGCAACACTAGTTAATGTGCAAGTTAATGTGCAATACTCTGATTAATGTTGCCACAAATACTTCTGTAATAATAATTTAGAAACAATACAAATATTGTTTAAAGGATTCAGCTCTCAATTAACATTGTCATAACTCATTATTTATATGTTCTACATATTATTTTATATTATATAATAATGTACATAGTTCAGACTTCTCACACACACACACACACACACACAATTCATCTTTTTTTTCATAATTTTCTGATGTTAAACTCAGAAAAAACTGAAATTCTTGTACTTGGCCCCAAAAATCTTAGAGACTCACTGTCTAAAGATATAGTTACTCTAGATGGCATTACCTTGGCCTCTAGCACCACTGTCAGGAATCTTGGAGTTATCTTTGA